GTGTATAAATTACTTATAGCTGAAATCTAAAATGATCAATATTGCATATTACAACTAAAACACACTACCTACCCTTGAAAATTTGAAGTCAACATATTTTATTCAATTTAAACTTGTTTGGATGTCTGATACACAGACCTTGACACAAGGCACGATCCACCAGTTCTCAAATTGAGATATGTCCGGTGTACAACAGTAAAAAATCTACGTTGGAATAGTTGCTAAGCGAATAAAAAACGGCAATGAAACGAAACAGAAGTATGACGCCGTTAAAACAAATTTATCAATGTTGCACACGCAGTCACGTTGAATAATTCATTTATTTTACCTAGAACACTTGGGTAGTATTTAAATGGGACCTTTGCATCCTTGGATTTGATTGGACCAAAAGGTAATGAATTCTAAAAGTATGCACTCATACTGTTAAGAAATTAATATTCCTCTTCGAGTTCAGCAGTGTAAAACAATTAGAAAAGAAGGTACAATAAATTAGTTTAATTTACACAAATTAAGTCTGTTAATTCTTGAAGTTATACTTCTTGTGGCACGTTTGTAAAAAGTTATGAGAGTAAAATATTTGGATGCGCCATAGACAGCTAAAAAGCGACATGGTGAATTTGGTTGCAAAGAAGCAATAACAATTTCTTTACATATATGTATAATTCAAAGTTATTTAATTAAACCGTTATCAATTACATTCAATATATTTTTCACACACAAAGAATACTGGCACAGTGGATAAAATTTTTTTGTTATTTTTCTTTTGTTACAATATAGAAATATCACTTGTTACGTGCGAGTACATACGAATATATTTTATTTATTTCATATATGTTTTCCTACATTGGGGCTATACGATAAATGGTTATGAATAATGAAACTTTTTTAAAAGGCAATGAATAATTTCGCATAACAATTTATATTTTAAAACGGTCTATCTATTTAGATATATAAGGAGGAATTATAAACATTGGTCTTCACAGTAAAAAGTACACTTCTATATAAATAATTTACACTCAAAAAAATTATATTCCATGTTCGATTTGCGTTAGCCTTACAGAATTTTGAAAAAAAAAAATCAGCGATGCTAAAATCAATCAAATGCAATAAAAAGAAATACAGTACTGTAGATATGTGGGGCGAGGAACCACACAATCAGAATAATTTTGTTACATAAAATTAAACATCGCAGTGCAGGATATGTGTTGATATTAGCATCATTTCGGCCCTCCGGTTTATCATTAATATTACGTTTAAGTAAAACAAGCGCAACAACCATTAAAGTTATTCGTTTTAACGACCTGTTAGGCTTAAAATTTGTTCGGCAGGGCAATAAATATTGCGCCCCATTAAAATAAATTGACCATTAAGTAAGATGCATTGAGGGAATTGTTTAAAAGGCTAAACATTTTATTATACAATTTCAAATCTATTTCCACTTAGACGGAATGAAAATTATATTTTGTTTATTTAATTTCATGAAAGTTCATCATAGGGCTGTAAAGAGGTAGCGATAAGTCTATGAAAGCCGGTAGTTTGAAATGGAAGCTCCCATGGAGCGGGAAATCAATTTGTTATGTTTCATTAACTAATGTTTTTGCCGGTTCTGCTTTGGACATACATCAAAACCGCTTTAAAGCAAAGGTGCAAATGAAATAAATGTTTCTACAAAACCGTATTATGTAAAAAAGAATTATGTCATCGCTTTACTACCCACGATGTAAAGAAAGTTACATAACATTATAACTTCTTCTGTATTATGACAGATGATAAAGACAATTAACAAAGTTCAAAAAAATGTTTTGAATGAATAAAAAAAAAAAAGTATTGACTTTAGTGATATATTTATTATGTACTCGTGGATGAATAAAGTCTATAGTCATCTGTGTAACGGTCCGTAGCGCATCTTGACGGTGGTATGAAGCATGTGGGTTCCGACTAGAATTTGAGTTTTACGGTCGATTTAGCTTTTAATAGTATCATTTAGTTACTGAAAAACAGTCGTCTCACTTCAATGGAACTGCAGAAAACTTCTTCTAGGTAATAGGTCTTATTATCACGACAAATCCAAACGTTTTATAGCAGATATACTTGCTAATTTATGTACACAACTTAGTGACACACTTCTAAACTGTTATACGGCAAACCGGTTTGCCAGTAGATTTTATGTAATATCAGCCAGTGATATATTTGAAGTGTAAGTTGGATTTATTGTTTTTTATGCCTGGTATTTGATACTTAACAGCTTAGCTGATGCATAACTATGTGTCTACTTAATTATAAACAGCCATTTGAAATAACTAAAGAAAATTAGCACCGCATATTTTTTTTTGTTTGAATTTAAAAATATTGCCATTAAATTATCCTGTGTTGTAAGGACGTTTTACAAACATAAATTGCACGAAGACAAACACCCAAACAACTATCTGTGGTTTGCACACATAGTTGTCCCGTGTGGGAATCGAACCCACGACCCCCGACGCCGAAGCTTTTTTTAAGTGAAACTTCTAATGCGACTTCCAACAAGGTAACGTTAAACATTTAACGCTACCATAGAGGGGTTTAACGCTCCTGGAGAGGGGGAATAGAAAGAGACGGAGCAAGAGTGATGGCGGGGCACTCGAAGTTTCACTTCTTCCGCGTGGAAGGACTCTACGTAATTATTTTTTCATCATAATTTCAGTCAGTTCCCCATCAGTCATCGGTTCTTCGAGCTATACATTATGTATCGACTGGCCTGTACCCAATTCAGTTTACAAATTCTCTAAGCTATATCGGTAACGTTGGATTGACACGATAAGTGATTCTGCCATGATTAGTATTTATTTATACTTTATTGTACACCAAATATTTATAATATTTAAATATATAAAGCAAATTACAAATGAATATAAAAGGAACTACAATATGCGGTCTTATCGCTCAGAAAGCGATTTCTTCCAGATAACCAGTGCGAAAACAATTATTGATAATGATACATAAAGAAAACAAGGGAGGTGTACATGAATCACTTATAACCATCGGATGATGGCATTTATACATCAAAGACATAGTCAAATATTTTCGGGAAAATTAGGAAAAGGAAAGCATGAGTTCATATTTCTAGGTAATGAGCTTTTAATAGGTTTTTAAAAGAAATAAGTGATATTAAATGAAACTACTTTACGGATTTTATCGCGATTATAATATTAGCGTAAAATCAAGAAAACAATATAGAAATAAGTGACTTAGCTTATCGAATGTGAAGGGGCAAAGAATTCCACACACGCACAGCTGTCACTGTAAAAGATTTTTGAGAAGGAAGAGGAATGTACAGGAGTTTGGAAGGAGAGATTGGCAGAAGAACGAAGGGACCCTTCATGGGATAAGGAAAGATACTCGAAGCGATCTTTTAAGTATTTCGGAGTAGATGGATTAAACAACACGCTGTACAAAGCAGAGAGAATAAATAGAGGGTATTCCTGCGAAGGCGGATTGGGAGCCGCTTGAGCTGTGTACGAAAATCAGAAACATGATCATATTTACGAAGCCCAAATATGAATCGAAGACATAAATTTTGAATCAGCTCAAGTTTATTAATCTGAACTTCGGATAGCGAATATCAGCATTGGCAAGGATGGGTAGAACTAGTAAACTGAATGCAAATTTAGTGGCAGTAGGAAGAAAATTACGCAGTCTTCGTAAGGAGCCTATAGCAGAGAACATTTTCTTACTAGTCTTATTTATTTGCAGTGTCCATGTCAAACAGGCGTCAAAAATATTCCTAGATTCTTCACCTTTTTGCTGTACGGGATGTGAGTACCGTTAAGAATAATTGGGAGTAAAGTAGACCAGTCGGTTTTAACTCCCGATTATGATGGCTTGAATTTTTGTAGGATTGATAGTCAAACCATATACCTTACTACAATTAAAAATATAAGCCAAATCACCGTTAGTGCTTTCAATCGATATAGGCAGGTTTTCCAGAGACGATTGAGTATAAATCTGAAGCTCATCAGCGTACAAGGGGTAGGAAGAAGATAGGTGAGAGCTTATCGTATTAATGAAGATTGCAAACAGAAGAGGAGACAGCACGCCGCCTTGTGGGCCAGCAACATTGTTATTCCAGGAAGAGAAAACATCTTGCACCTGAACACGTTGTCGGCGACCAAACAAGTAACTATGATACCAGTCAACCACAATCGGAGATATGTTGAGAGAACGCAGAATAGCGAGCAATATGTCATATAACCTACAGTAGTAGTGTCACATAATCTACAGTATTGAATGCATTGCTGAGGTCAAACAAAGTCAGTACAGTAAGTTTGTGATTATCCATGCCATAACGAATGTCGTTAAAGGCGTTAAAGGCGTTAAAGGCGGCAAGAATGGAAGTAGGGAAATAGGCCGGTAATCGGAGAAACTAGCGCGATTAATTTTTTTTTCGGGAGAGGAATGACATTGGTATTTTTCCAATCCGAGGGAAAAGAAGCAGTTTTCAGGGAGTTGTTGAGGATACAAGTAATTACACGGGTAAGGAAGTTCAGGAGAGGAAAGAGCATTTTACGGCTAATGCAATCAATACCGACAGAGTTCGAATGGATGGAATATATGGCTCTCGCAACATAACGATCGTCGATTTGACTAAAATTAAAATTAAAAAAGGGAGTATTAGGAGTGGCAGTGTTTGAAAGGGAATATAGAGTGTTAGCTTTTGCTTCATTACTAATGCAAGAAGAAGAGGAAAAATGCTGATTAAGCTGATCAAGATCAGTATGTCGTCGGCAAATGGAAATTGAGTGATGTATTCGTCATTGATGTTAATAGGGATATAATATCAACATATTACCTTTCTGCAGTTGGATAGTCTGTTTTACTATGGGACCGTAGTGCCATAGACATCTGTCATCGATATACTGATAGTAACTTTGGTACCGCTTAAGAACTTGAAGTAGCACTCCAATTTTAACAGAATGTAGGCTTTCTCATTGCCTATATATGCCAGGAATAAAAGAATATTATACTCTTCGGTCTTCCGCATAATCTGCAGTATACAGTAAAAAATCGTAGATAATGAAATAAGTGCGATTTTTATAACATTTACTACCCACGAAAATTATTGACTCACGCTTGCATTCCTTTTTCTTAAAGACATTTACTTTTGGTTATTCGTTTTATTGCGATTGGTACCGGTGGTACCTCACCTTTGATCTTAAAATCTACTAGATTTCATATGCATCTATTAACTATTAGATAGCCTTACTAAAATCATTTACTTAAACGAAGTGGTGTTTGATCTCTTATCGTTTTTGGCGCCTCATGCCATTTTGATGGAACTTTCACTTTGATTGTGATGTACATTTTGGACTATATACTCGAAGGAATTTGGCGTTGCGCCAGTGGGGTTATACGCGCTACAATACTGACGGTGTATCGTCATCTTTTGTTCATTACAGTCCTACTCATTTATGCGGAAGCGAAGCATGCAAGATTTTCATTAGTAAAAAAAGAAAATCTGCAAACGGCTAAACTTCATAAAAGGCTTTTTTTTCATTCAGACAGTACCTGATAAACATATTTTTTGGTGTTATTAACTTTTTTATAGTTGGAATAAAAATAAACAGAGAAGTGTGTGCTTTGTTTATTTACGTTATTATCTGTTTATGTAAGATGACATTATTTCCACTAAAACATATCTCTTTGGTAATTGTGCTATAAGGTACTTTAGAATACAAGAAGTATATATGTGTATTAATTATAATTATTTATTAATTATGTATTAAAAAATATTCAAGTAATTATTTTAGTCTTTAAGTTCATTTTCCCTGTACACACCTAACTATTTTGTTTTGATTATTATTTATGTATTGGTAATTATTATTAAAGGTTTGCTGGCAGATAATTCTGTTTAGGGTTAAGCTCGACTTATAAATTATACATGTATACAAAATTATACATTTACGGTATTTTATTTACAGATTATATAGAAAGGAATATATTAAATAATGTACATATATTATACCAAAAAGAAAGCATTGCACCGGATTGCATTATCGAAATGTCAAATGTATTACAAGTAGACCTGAGAAATATTAAATTAAATTCGTGCTCACTTGTTACATCTTGCATTATTCATTACGTGAAATGGAAGGAAAAACAATGGAAAGCGAGCTGAGACGCGGACAATTGAGCCGGCACCGGATGGGGGGACCGACCTCGATAGTTCCACCGACAAGAAAATGGGGCATTCTGCGCAACTGACTCGCGACGGGATCCGACCAATTACCTTGATGGGAAAGCAATGAATATCACGGTTCCCGGTGAATTAAATCGAGGATGATATTATATCTTTACACGATCGTTTCTAATCAATGTGAATGTGCAAAAAATGTTACTCTTGTAGATTATAGGCAAGTATTAATACATCTTTATTCATGACGACATACATTCAAAGAAGTTGTTATACGAAGCAAATGCTGGTTCGAAATAAAGCAGTTAATTTTCATGATGATTCCTTTTTCTTTTCTTTCTTTTTTTTTTAATTATACAGTGCAAAAATAATATTCAGCAGCTCTCAGCGATGCATCATATTTGTACAATTAACCTCACTTACTTAATTTTGGTAAACAGCACTAATAATAATAAGAAACCATAAATAAGAATCGACTTAGATTTTACAGTACCAGCCTTTATACATACAAACATAATATGTTAATTACACTTTTATAAACTAAAGGTCACACAGTAGTCCACATGGCGACATTTTGGATAAACAATGTCCTCATATGGTGTTCTCTTTATTTTCTGTTTGCGAATAAGGTAAATAAAAGTATTGCAAACTTATTTTATTTTAGTAATGGGTGCATGAAAAAGTTTCTTATTACGAGAATGGGGCATGTTAACCATATAACTTAACTATCTGTTAAGCGCGGCTTCGCCCGCGTGGTCATAGGGAATTAACAATGAGTTTTTTTATTATACACCAGAATATCTTGCAGATGGCTGATTTTTTCCTACTTAGTTGGCACTTATCAATATTTATATTTTAGAAAATTCACACAATATCTTTATAAATTATAGCCTACATGTTATTTTGAGGTATAAGCTATATTATTGTACAGTTCCATTAAGATAAATTCAGTAGTTTTTGGGTGAAAGAGTAACAAACATTATTATATTTATAGTAAGGATTTAGAGGCGATACATACAGAATGAATAAATAAAAAAATAATTAAAAAAATCACTTTATTGCCTTTTTAACAACTTATAAGTAAACATGCATTCTTAAACCTAATAGTACACATAATACGGTAAAGGCAAAAGGAGGCTGCTCAGCTTGTGCTGATCGAGTAGTAGGAGTAGTTCCGAGCAGCGCTGGTTTTCGGCCTCTCCCCACTTCCCGAGGTGTTTTTCGGAAGTTTTAGTTCTGGCCTACCAAGCGAAAAACTACGATAGAAAGTATGTAAGATGTATATGCGTGCGTGCATGCGTGCGTGCGTACGTGCGTGCGTGCGTGCGTGCGTGTGTGTGCATGCTGTCCATACTTAACTGCATAAGAACTGTATAATTTACGCAATACACAAGAATAATATAAGACAAATGATTATTTAATTTACAAATAAGTACGATGAAAGACATTTTACCGTTCGTAATAAATTTTAATTAAAACGTTTACTTTGAAACTACAACTCATGATCTCAAAAATTAAACACTTCGAAGCATATAAGTCTTAATGAGTTTATGTCAAGAAATTAAGATTAAATAACTTTCTTAATCTAAATAAATAATAAAAAATATTTTTCTTCCTGTTAAGTTAAAGCACATCCCACCAATAATTTCTTACATTCCACCAAGAACGAGAAAAGGGAAAGCAGGTCTAATATTTCTTAAAATATTGTTACCAATGCTACATTTGTTATTCGAGAGATAAACGTAAACTTTATTGCTATCCACTATTTATTGTATCCTCTTCCTTCGGAGAATTTATGCTGTATGAAAATATTTTTCTCGTCATATTTTCCCGTTATTCTTTATCAGGAATAATATTTTAAAAAAGAAAAACTGTTTGTTAGTCCTATAAAATTTCAGTCCGTATTCGTATTATTGTGTGTTATTTTTTCCAATGAGCGAGTAAAAGTATCGGCCTATACATGTCCCACTGCTGGGAAAAGGCGTCTCCTCTGCACATAGGGTATCATGGCATAGTCCACGTGGCCCCACTGCAGATTGGCGGACTTAACATATCTTCGATATATTTGTTACTGTTACAAAAAATAATGCCATAAAATTTCCTCACGATGTCTTCCTATACCGTTGAGCAAGTGATACTTCAGCACTTAAAATTTGTTTTTTCAATGTCATAACACTGTTGACTATCTGAATATCGGTAAATAAACATACACTACGTTTTATTACAGTCATTTAATCATTTCGAAATCGCTTATCGGTGAAGGCTGAGCACATGATTTATCTAATGATAAGTAATTACCCTGACTACATGCATAGGAATGGACAATTGCCATACTCTATGAATTGCTAAAACGATCCAGTTCATCAATTTTTAGCACATATTATTATAGTTTTTATTGGAGGTGGTGTAAAAAATAAAAACGATTGAAAATTAAACTGTGGGCGACGTAACTTTCATTGTTAGTCGTTAATAAAGATTAGTCTGACTGCAAATAACTAAAATTATCTACGGCAAAGGGCCACGAAATACAAATAAAATTTTGTTTTTCAAAAACAAGAAACGACTTGTACGGCTGTAAGAAATTAAGAACCGAAACATATTTCAAAGTATTTATTTTAAATATAATTAATTACATGAGTCTTCCCTGGTAACTATGATGGATACGAGGCCATTTAAGCTAATTTTATATGTTTACTTGCAGCTATGTATTAAGAATGTTTTTGACGGTAAATAAATTAATAAATAGTAACTGGAGGACCAGGCTTTTCTCGGTTTTTTTTTTGTTGGTAAATCATGTATTTTGGAAATAAAAAAGTAATAAGTGTATAAATGATCGTGATACGAACCGCGGCCGTCTGTTTTGGGCCCGCCCGATTACCGACCGCTATTAAAATATTTTTTTTGCGGCGAATTCGAATGATATTTTTAGCTAGCTAGGTCGATTTTTCGCCCCTGAATCTACGCAAATACCAAATTTCATGAAAATCGCTGGAGCCGTTCCCGAGATTCCGATTATATATATATATATATAAACAATATATATATATATATATATATATATATATATAAGAATTGCTCGTTTAAAGGATAGGATATAACACGAAGACAGGTACCTCTAATCAACAGTCGTATGACAAGTTTTCCCAAAACAATACTTATTTGTACAACTTAATTTTAATAAGACAAAGTAAAAAGGAACATAATGGAAGAAAAAACTCCAACATGTATATAAATGTTTAATTTGTATTATGTAGTAATTACAAACGACGAACTGTGTACTGCAATATCCAGATTAATTCCATGACAATGTTATAAATTGAATCTTCTTGAGCATTATGTCTTGTACATAGATTTAATGTGAGTGAATTTTCTCCACTTCTAAGTCCTTGATGCCATAGCGCCCGCTTTTTTGTTATCATTAGTTAGCTGAACAACTTCAGCTTATAATGTGATATTACAAATGTTTGTTTTCCTGAGATAGTCACTACAACTTGCATCACACGAACGCATCGAACTTGCAAATCACACTCCCAAGAAAATAATTTCCCGGCATTTGAATAATAAAATGTTACAACTTAAAACCTAAGGCAAAGCATTACGTGTGAAAAAACTTGTACTTAAAGATATTAACGTATTTATTACACAACACATATTGGAAATGTACACTTACTTATAGAAATTAATTCGTATCAAACGTCTTTATGTTTAGTTATAGTTATATAATAGTTGAGTTAAAATGTTGGGGTCTGTACTCTGGTTTTAAAAACATACAATTCTTTATGTCAAAAAAAGCAACTTACTTCATCAGTAAATGGAGAGAGGCTAGAATTGAAAAAGTTTATCTAGAATCAAAAAAGGTATTTTCCTGATCACATGTCTACGACGCAACTGAATGATACTTTTGTCGATCCAGTCTCTCAAAGCAGAGACCTTAGCATACACTCCTGGATAGTTGGGTCGAGCACAACCTAAGCCCCAAGATACAATACCTGCGAGCCTTCCATTGTAGACCATCGGTCCACCACTGTCGCCCTTTAAAAAGAAGAAACACAACGCTATTAAATGGGAAATTATTATTTTATCGATCTTTTTTTATATTATTCTTTACGTTTTAAACGCTGCCATTACTGTCGGATAATATTATCCTGTGTTGTAAGAACGAAAGTCCTGAATAATTATCTGTGGGCCATGAATATTATTGTCTCGTATGGGAATCGAAACCACAAACATGGGCGCCGGAGCCAATTCCTTGGCAACTGCGCCACAGAGCCATCCGCTCGTAGCTATGATTATTGCTATCATTATTGCATAATTAATAATAATTCAATAATTATCATGGATTTTAGCAATTTAAAATGAGATATAATTTATAAATAAAATCCGTACTTCGTTACTAATATTATAAAGGTGAAAATTTGTATATATGAATGGATGTTTGTTACTCTTTCACACAAATACTACTTGTTGTATTTTTTTTTCCTTTTTTTATGTGAAAAGTTGCCAAACGAGCAGACGGTTCACCTTATGTTAAGTGAATACCGCCGCCCATGGACATCTGCTACACCCAAGGATTATATATACGTTGACAAGCATTTGAAAATTGGGCTCCGGCTAAAAGTGACAAATAAATCTGGCCTCCCATAGCTTTAGACATAAATCATCGCATCTTTGGTTTTATAATGCAGATAATTCGGAGAACCTGTAAATGAATATGACGTTGCAGATTACGCGTTGACCGATATTTGATGGGCCAATGTTTTGATTTACAGCATCTCTAAGATTAATGTTTCACCAGCCCTCAGTCTCTGGTTATTACGACATAATATGTAATTCAATCTTTCTGATATCTTTTTCCATCATATTGACAATGTATTGAATAAAAACCGGCCAAGTGCGAGTCGGACTCGCACACGAAGGGTTCCGTACCGACCTCACAGAAGACCGGGGTAAAATAGAAGTGTTATACTTCTACTTTTCGTCTTGTGAGAGAGGTTGCCGGGGCCGACTTTATTTAAAGATGGCAACTCATTTGCAACCCTACAGCTGTTGCAAATATCCATGGGCGGCGGTTATTACTTCACATCAGGTGAACCGCCAGATCGTGTGCCACTCTATCACATTAAAAAAAATCATGTTTTAATATCTTTATTCAATATAGAAGTATTACTCTTACATATTGTCAAAAACACTACTGCTGTCAACATTATCTATAAAACCGGCAAAAAAATCATGTCTGTTTTATGGGAGCCCCTCTTATTTATAATTTTTTTGTTTTTTAGTATTTATTGTTATAGCGGCAACAAATGACAACGAAATACATCGTTTATGAAAATTTCAACTCTAACTATCACGGTTCATGAGATACGGCCTGGTGACATATGGACAGACATACGGACATACAGACGGACAGCGGAGTCGTAGCAATAGGGTCCCGTTTTACCCTTTGGGTACGGTACCCTATTAAATCCCAGTAATAATGTAATGGATTAAAACAGGTAGCTCTAACCATCAACCCTAAATGCATAAAATTGCATGCATGTCTCAGTTTTGTTACACACAGTACCTTGCTGAGGAATAGTCAAATATTAACCGTCTTCTCCTATTACGACTATTAAGAGATATTTTAGTGGATCATACAGAGACCCTTTTAAGTTGGCCGTGTCTACCGTGCAATATATCTCTAGGGCCTTTTTAGGGTTCCATACCCAAAGGGTAAAATGGGACCCTATTACTAAGACTCCGCTGTCTGTTTGTCCCTCTGTCAACAGGCTGTATCTCATGAACCGTGATAGTTACAGAGTTGAAATTTGATTTTTGAATTTAGGTTTTGTGGGTATTTGTTTCCCAAGGAGGCTTGACGTCAGGCAGGCGGCTGGTTGTAAAAATATAGTTGTGCCGATCCCACCTAGGTGGGATAGGGGCAGGAGGATAATGATAACTTGTATACTTGTCCCTCTATTTTAAAAGTTCACGCTAAACGAAATCATTAGAAAGAAGCTATTGCACTTTCGAATATCGGTTAAAAATGTCCAGATGGTGAATGATATTTGTCAAAAGATTTTTTATTGGCTGTGGCGGCTCCTCAATATTAGGGAGACTAATTTTTCCAGAAGCACAGCACATACCATTTGGTTCATCGACCCATTTTTTGGCAGAACTCTTAGAGCAGATCTTATTCATGGCTCCGATTTGGACAAAAGACTGTTGAGCTTAATGCATTAAAGCTGATCTGTTACTGTGAGCTAAAAGTCGATTACGATCTCTAATCGTTGACGTTTGTTGTCTTTCCCTCTAATCTCGTAGGCGTTGGGAACGCTCAGAACTCGACTCCCTAGTGTGAATTTGTATATTTATATTAATATGCTCTTCAAGCCGCTGCAAACACTACTTGACTCTCTCCGATTTTAAGGCTATTTTCAGTTTCCGGTAAAGATTCCTCATTACGACGTATTTTTGATGCCCTCGCCTGGAAACTATTTCTAGAAAGATGAGATCTTTAAAATGATAGAAAAAATTAAACTGCCTTTGTATTTAATAATATGCTAACTATTACCAGTATAAATGTGATTGAAAAATTGTAAGAACTACTAAGTCAGTCACTAAGCTGTTTGGATAGTTAAATTCCAATATACTAACATTTTTAAACTTGTGATATCTCTCGAATGGAAAGTCCGAATTTAACAATTCAAAAAGTTATATAAAGATATTGAAACAGTCTTAAATATGAAGTAATTTATTTTTATAAGGATTAATACCAAGATACAAATAAAGAGCCTTTTCTAGCGGCGGCATTTCAATCAAAATTTTAAAATAAAATAACACTTATTGTGGCATAACCATAATAGTTAGACATATGCTGTCGCGACACTTTTTGTAAATAATGATGTGTTCTGCAAAGTGGTAGTACATTATTTTATTCTATCATCAATAGTTTTCGCAGCGCACGCAATGTAAAGAATATTTTTGGTAATTTTTGTACACTTTGGGTTACATTATTGAAGTTTTAGTAAGGATCCCTATTTTTTTTTGAAAATATAATATAGCCTATATTAAGCAGGGATAATGTAGCTTCCCAACACTGAAAGAATTTTTCAAATCGGTTCAGTAGTTTCGGAGCCTATTCAATACATACAAACAATCAAATCTTTCCTCTTTATAATATAGAAGATATAGATGATAAGTGTCAGGTAAGTAGGAAAAAATTCAGCTATCTGTGAGATATTCTGGTGAATAATAAAAAACTCATTGTTAATTCCCATACGCCGCGCGGGCGGTGCCGCGATTAACAACTAGTTATGTAATTAGTGTACCTGACATGCGTCTTTGCCACCTTCACGAATACCAGCACACAGCATTGTCGACGTGATGCTATACATAGACGAGTACGCTTCGTGACATTCATTAGAGTTGACTTTAGGTACCAATACCATTTGCAACGTGGACGGATATCCACCTCCCTCCTGAAATGTTAAAAATTCGTGTCAACTAATCGTTTTTAAAACAATACTCACACTGCCCACCTGCTACGATATGAAGACGGAAAAAGCGTACTAGCAATCACATTCAAGTTATTAATTAATTCTGTGTGTCGCTGTTTAACTCAGCTCAAATTCCAGGTTGTGATCTTATCACTAAGTGAAATATTAAAACGTTAGTTTTGTATTTGAAAATTGCATAATATATAAATTTGATAGTAGCAAAATGTACTTATTGTGGGTTACTGATGATATAGCTGAGTATGGATTATTCATATTAATTATTAAAGCAGTGATAAGCAAAGTCTACTGCGAGCTGGCGATTCACCTGGCATTAAATAATAACTGCCCACCAAGGACATTTGCCACCATATAATATAGTGAGCTCCGGTTGCCTCACTCCGAAATGCAGACATAAAACACTTCCAATTCACGCTGGTATACCTCTGAAGTACCGACATACACACGTTAGCACCACGACTTAGCACTTCCTCGGACGGACCTGCCCACATTTAAAGACCATGTTGCTATTTAAAATACAAAATGTAAGACGATATTTGACGCAAAGTCTATATGAGCAAAAATTCAGGTTTGTCACAAATTTTTGATTATACAAATGAGTGCAACTTACTCGTATGTTTCCCCAGCCTGAAACCATTGTAATATCACCATCTTGAATCTCCTCTCCCATCATTAGCAAGTCTATAGGGGCGACTTCGTCTTTAAATTGTATGGGTTTTGACAGCCAGATCAATGCTATATCACTATCCATTTCGGTATATGTGAAATTCGGATGCCACATTAAATCACCCACTGGATATAGGTCACCACCCTTTTGATTTGACGAGGACCCAACACGCACCGAATAACCTTCTGAATTTGTACTGTAAGTAAAACATTTATTTTGCATTAAATATTATAAACATTATTAAATCATTCGCGTGAGATAAAACTTTTTAAATTTTGAATTTTGACCTGAATATTCTCTTTTTGGTGTATACAAAACAATCAACAAAATTACTCACTTGTAAATGCAATGTGCAGCAGTAAGAATTATATCTTCAGCAATAATTGCACCTCCACATGAATGTCTACCATATTTGAGTAGAGAAACTTGATATGGGGCTATAGTTATATCTATATCTTCACCACCAACAATTCGAACATCTTCCTTAGACTTCGTTGTGGGCAACGGCGCTTTAATAAAGAAAATGTATAGAATCAACGTAGTTATGAGAAATCCAACAATAAATGTTATCGTAAAAACTAAAGACATTTAGACAAGCTAAAAACGTGTTATTTTAATAAAATTAGAGTTTCCGAGAGAAGAATCATGATATATTATTATTTATCAACATTTTTCGATATTGTTATTCAAAGTAAACTTTAAACTGTGTCCTTAATTCAATTTTTTCAATGTTCGATCCGAACCGAATAGCATTAACTTTTCAAAAGAAAGAACTTCAGTTTCCCAATGTTTCCATCTTAATTATTAATTGATATTTATTATTAAATGTCGATCATCAAAAATGCTCTCACCCACTGCACGCATTATTGATATCAATAAAAGAAACTTGTACATGTACATGGTGCAGTAAATGTAGTTGACAATGGTCTATGCTTCTATTCATGAAAGGGCATTTATACTTAGAAATAAAAAAAAAATATTAGGTCAACATAATTATCACAGACTTAATAACAAACCTTCACATCAATACAGTCGCAATGACAGATAAAGAAGAGACTTAAAGATAAATTTTGTAATTGTTGTGGCTGGAGTATCTGATAAGAGACGCGCCACGTGAGATTTTGTGATATAACGTATAACAACATTGATAAGATATTGATGAATCGTATTTTATGTCTGGTGACCCAAGTTCAATACGCTTGTAAGCGTTGAAGTAAATGATGTCTAAGAATTTGGAATGCTATTTTAAACTTCACAAGTGTTCTGTTTGACATTTTTTTACAGAAAAAAATGACGTACTAACAGATTCAGTAACGCTATCAGCGGATTTTTTATCGGATTGTTAATCGGAAAGAAAGAACGAGTTATGAAGAAATTCGAGTATCACACAAGTCTAGCTTTCTATAAGAAAGGTAGAACTCGATCAACCATGAACAAGTAACACGTACAATAGTCTCGGTGTATTGAACTAACCGTTATTGAGTTTGTCCTAAAATGTCTAATAATTAGTGTTGGAAGAGAAGAGGAGCTTATAACGACCTCACGGGTTGAGAGCGAGTCCTGTTAATCGGTTTTAATGATGTTTTTCATAAAACTAATTTGCCAAGCGAGAAGACGGTTCACCTGATGTTAAGTGAATACCGCCGCCCATGGACGTCTGCTACACCCAAGGATTACATATACGTTGACAAGCTTTCGAAAATTGGGCTCCGGCTTACTTTCACTTTACGACGGTCTTCTGTGAGGTCGTGGTACTTACCCGGACGAGCCTGCCCATTCGTGCAACAGCCGAGGCTGCTGCGTGGCCCTAACACCGTTAAGAAGCCAATCCGTTAAGATCTATCCGCGAATAAAGAAAAATAGAAAAGAAAAGTATCCAGCTTTTGCACGACGGTACTTTCGCGCGCACGAGCCGACTTGCGCCGGCTGCTCTGCATGAGATTGGCTTCGAATAATAAATCACATATCCTAGAGTCCAGACCTGGCTGCGAGTGATTACTATTTGTTCGAAAATATGAAAAAAAAATAACTCCAAGTTAGAAATTTTATAGCGTTACATTATATTAAATAGAAAAGTTAGTTACTTAATTTAACAGGTTTAAATTCAAATTCATCGTGTTTTAAAAAACACTGGCCAAGTGCGAGTCGAACTCGTGCACGAAGGGTTTATCTGTACAAACAGAAAACAATCGTGTCTTGTATGGGAGCCCTACTTAAATATTTATATTCTGTTTTTTGGTATGTGATGTCATAGCTTTAACAAAAGTACAATATCATCTGCGAAAATTTTAACTGTCTAACTATTATGGTTCATGAGATACAGCCTGTTAACAGACGTACAGGAAGACCCACACAAAAGGTTAGTTTCACCCTATGGATACGGAACCTAAAAAAGTCAAAACTTGTTGATAAAGCATAAAAATTATTTAATGGCCCTAACCTAGCGAAGTCGCCTCATTTGGATTTCGCATAATTATAAAGGAACTAATAATATAACGCTGAACTAATTATATTGTATTACGTAATTTTTTTTCTCAGTGCAAATAAATAGGGTCCGTAAGAATGATTATATCATATCGCATATGACATGAGATAGTAAATCAAAAATCTTTTGACTCTGAAATATAAAGGTGTTTTGTTGTCTTATGTATAATATATGATAAATAATCGTTTAAAATTATTTGTTAAATTAAAGAAAATTCTAGTATTGAAATGTAACAATTCCAAGTGAACCAGAAAGAAGTTAATATGATCTTTCTAGTTCAAGGAATGTTAACAAACTTCGTGTGATATCAGTTATGTAAAATATAATTATGATTATAATTAATTAGGGCTTGCCCGTGACCTAAAGAGTTCTTATTTGATAGGATTCTGTTCTCATAAAATTCCATTAAGTTTTATTATTGCGACGTACAGCGATAACAAAATTTCCACAAAATAAAACAATGTTAGTGATTCTCGTAACCATGTGATACAAGGAGATAACGAGGCGATTCAACTGATGTTCAATCGTAATCGTCACCCATAGTCATTAACAAGGCCCAGGGGTGGGCCAAGATAATTCATTACAACAAGTATAAAATATAAATGTTTAAACTTAAACCAGATCTTAATACATACAAGCAGCCGACTTCTGTTACAGCAATGTATAAAGTAAAGTAAAGTAAAGTAACAGCCTATACATGTCCCACTGCTGGGCAAAGGCCTCCTCTATACAGAGGGTATCAGGGCATAGTCCACCACGCGGCCCCACTGCGGATTGGCGGACTTCACATATTTTCGAAATATATATTTTTTTTGTTATTATTTCGAAAATTTGCAGGTTTCCTCACGATGTTTTCCTTCACCGCGGAGCACGTGATAAGTCAGCACTTAAAGTTAAAAACTTCATTGGTGCCGGCACCGGGGATCGAACTCAGGTTGCTCGAGTATATTGAATTAAAGGCGAGCGCCCAGACACTGAGCTATCACGGCTCATAATGTATCGATCGATTATATGAGAAGTCTTTTTATTCACACTAAGTCTGGGTTGTGGGCTTCACAATTTTTCTAGAAAATATCATAACCAAGAAGCAGAAAATAAATGCCCGCAACGAATACGTGTGGAGTTAATGTGACACTCAAGTAAAATAAAATAAGAATATTATTATAAAATATATGTTATATTGGATAATCTGATCTTTAAAAAAAGAGCAACTGTTGAGTTTCTTGCCGACTCAAAAGAAACTGCCTTCCGAACTGTTGATAACTTACTTACGAACTTACGTATTAACTATTTAAGTAAAATTCGACGTTTCGTAAGAACGCACAAGCGTCCATTTGAATAAAGATATTTTATCTATATAGATTTGCATATATTTTTTTGTGTAAAATACAGGCCTATATATGTCCCATTGCTGGGCAAAGGCCTATTTTGTATTAGGGCATGTACACCACGCAAATGACCGTTATAGCTAATTGTCTAGGCCTCACTTACTGACTTAAAATCCTGTGTACTATAGCTGGGGCAGAGGGCGTCCACAGTAGATCGACATCGCGAAAGATCTTGCACTTCACGCTTCACTTCACATGAAGCGACCATGTCAGTTCGATGCTCGCTGCTTCTGCCAATACCGCTCTTTTTCCTTGAGAATTCCAATCCAATGCTTGTTTAGGAATGTGATCGGAAACTGTCCGGAGCGTGTGACCAATCCATTTCCACTTGCGACGCTTGATCCGGCGGTCATTCGGGCTCTCGTGGCTTCTTTCCAACAGTTCTATGTTGGAGATGGTCTCGGGCCAGCAAATTCCATGTATGCGACGAAGGCATCGGTTGACAAAAACTTGGATTTGGCGTGAGATGTTCTTTGTAACCTTCCACGTTCCGCCCGCGTAGAGCAGAACGGATTTGACATTCGACCCGAAGAATTTGAGTTTAATCTTTCGGGTCAGTTTCCGTGACTGCCAAATAGGTCTCAGTTGTGGGTAGGTAGCGGGCTTTATAGGCTAGGCTCTCGCTTTTATACATTCAATATACTCGAGCAAACTTAGTTCTATCCAATTTTAAGTGCTGACTAATCACGTGCTCCGCGATGAAGGAAAACATCATGAGAAAACTTGCATATTTTCAACATAATAAAAAATATATTTGGAATATATGTAAAGTGTTCCAATTCGCGGTGGGCTCGTGTTTTTGTTCCTCAACATTATAATTTACTGTTAAGCAAGTGATAACTGAGCTGTTAATTTTTAAATTGATAATTTCATTAGTGTTAATACCCATATTCAAACTCAGGTTGCTTGAGTAAGTGAGCGACCGGGCGCGGAACTGTCACGGCTTTTTTTTTGCTTATGTTATTTACAATTATCGAAAATTTAATCTATTCTTATTTAATAACTACTCTGGTTAGATTAAAAAAAAACATTGGAATGCTGGTCTAATAATAATAATGGGTTGATCCCAGTCAGCCTCTCCGGACATCTGAGGCGACTGGGACTCCGGGACGGAACGCTCCATACTCATATGCAGATGGTGGTGCTCCTCGATACCACCATATTTTTATTTCAGATAATTTTACAATCCATATATATGTTAGTAGAACGGAAACCTAAAAATCTAGTGTTAATATTAGTAAACATATATCAAATAACATTATGAAACATATTCATCATGTCTGCCAGCCAGACGGGTGTTACAGTGCAAGTGATTAAGTCGACGCACTACTGAACTATCCCATCTGGCTGCCAAAACAATCAGGAGAGTATTATCACTAGTTAACATTAACTAAGAGTATTCGAGGTAGAGGAACGCAAAGATATTTTTTATATTTGAAAAGTTGGCAAGATAGTGGACTGATGGTAAGTGATTACTGCCGCTCATGGATACCATCAGACGTGTTGCAGATGCGTTGCCACTCCAAAAATAATGACCTCAGTTAACTCACTCACCAGGCAAAACATAAATCTAATTCGACTTTACTTTTGTCCTAGGTTCTAGTACTCCCAAGTATATATATTATTCGTAAATCGGCAGAGACTACTACGTGGCCCTACTACAGTTGTCTGCATTTCGTACACTAACATTAGGTTTTAGTAAACTACATTCGATGAAATGTCCAGATTGTCATTTGTCTGTATCTACTCCGTAAGACATATTAAAAACCGATTTCAAGAGAACTTGTTCTGATGAGGATTTAATTATCAAATTTTCTCATGATTAAATGATAAAAATCTATTTGCATAAACTAATAATTTAATGCGCTTTTTTCGTTGGTTAAGTGTGTCCTTATTTTTTGGATCTTATCCCATGATCCATAAATAATTATGCATTTGAAAGACCAAGAAATTTGTAAGTCTGGGTTTTAAAATTTGCGCTTATTTGTTTTCTTTAGAGGCACTATTACTAGTACAGTACTAGTAGAATAATACATCGTATAGATTAAAATACTTTTTATTATAATGGACTTACTTTACACTCTAATTTACTAATAAATTACTAGTTCAATAAATTATTTTATAATCACTGACCAACGTTTTAACTTTTTCGTACATATTACAATGCGGGCCTAAATAGATGTTTCTGTCTTAAGATTTCACTGCTGCCATCGATCCAATTTCTCAGGGCTGACACTTTGGCGTAAACCCCCGGATAGTTAGGCCTTGCGCACCCTAAGCCCCATGAAACGACCCCGGCTAATCTGCCATTGTGGACCAAAGGACCACCGCTGTCACCCTGAAAGCATACATTCATTTTACACATTGCTTAAAACTTGTGTATGTACATTTGAAAAGCCATTTGATAGCTGATTAGTTAACTTCTACGATGATCAGTGTTTCACAACACTTAATTGGATAACATTCCTGATACTGATAATTTTCAAAATAAAATACACTACGGTATTTAATCAGACAGAGTACCCATCGTATTCTTGAAAAAATAGAAAGCATTCCAACGGGCCTCTTAGAAATTTCCCACGTTTTAATGGCATACCGTAAGGTATTAGTTTTTATTGCCATGTTACTATATTAATATTAAGAGATACAGTTGCATTCAATGCTTCTTTACAGATCTCTAATACATGGAAAAATATACTGTAATGATAAAGAGAATTGGAGCTAATATAATTTAATTTAATTTACCTATTATGTTTACTATAACGCTTAAATTAATCGGGCTATGAGAAAATAATACGTATTACATATAATTCATAACAGGCGTTACCTGACAAGCGTCCTTGCCGCCTTCTGGAACTCCAGCGCACAGCATTGTCTGGGTTACGGTGTAAGAGGCTGCATACACTTCATCACACATGGCAGTGCTCACTTTAGGAACCAGAACCATTTGCAGGGTCGATGGATATCCACCTCCCTCCTAAAAACAAATTTTATTATAACAAAACAAGAGAGATTATCAGCTTTAAGTTACCAAAATTTAGTTATTAAATCAAAGTATTCAACCCAGGCCAGAGGCAAAGCAATGCTTCAGACATCAGACTCTTGATGCTTTCAAGTGCAAGTGTCCTTAAACCATTGTTTTTCTCATTTCATGATAATTTTGTGAAATCAGTCTTATTTGTGAACTTAATAACTTGGCGGACAAACACCCAGATGCGAAATAACTATCTGTGGGTCACACAGATACTTGTCCTGTGTGGGAATCGAACCCACGACCCCAACGTCGAAGCCAATAAATACCTTGGCAACTGCGCCACGGAGTCATCAAAATCAAAATTTAAATGTTCAAGTTAACACAACTCTGAGCAAACTGAATTTAAAAAATATTGTTAATTCTTTGATCTGTGTCTTTTAGATATTGTGGGCAAATGAAATTAGTTTTTTCTGCCGATTTCAGGTCAAGCATTAAGGTAAAGTGATCTTGATTCCAATCAAGTGCTTTCTATATAATTAAATGTATTCTATTGTGATAGTAACAAAAAATACCCTTATATTTCCCCAGCCGGATACCATAGTTATATCACCGTCTTGGATCTCCTCGTTCATTTCGAGCATGTCTATAGGGGCTACCTTCTCGCTGAATGTTAAGGGTTTAGATAGCCAAATCAAAGCAACGTCACTGTCCATCTTAGAATACGTAAAGTTGGGATGCCACATTAAGTCACCCGCAGGAATTAACTCGCCACCATATCTACTTGACGAGGAGCCAACACGCACTGAATAATCACGTGCTGAAGTCCTGAAGTAAAAAAAAGAATATTTGTCACGTAGTAAGTGATTATAAGCCTTTATGAAAAATAATTTTTAATATATGTTTATAATTTTCGAAATCGAAAGAGTAAATGTTGTCCATTATGCAATAACGGACAACATTTACTCTTTAGATTTCCATTAAAATCAAATTTGCAATTGATATTAAAATAAAGAAATTCCCGATGGTTACATATTGACCAGTATAATTAAATGTTTCAATCTATTTTTAAATTAATTCGAAAGATCGAGTATTGCAGCAAATACAAATGCAGTTATTCACATAATCGGTCATTTATGCATTGCTTGACTCTTAACTTACTTATGTTATCAAATAAATCATAAAATTATTTATTAATTGTTTACCCGGAAACACAATGTGCTGCTGTAAGTATGAGATCATTCGCAATAATAGAACCACCGCATGAATGCCGACCCCTTCTCACCAGAGAAACTTGATAAGGAGCGACCGTTATATCGATATCTACTCCACCGACAATTCTAACATCATCCTTAGATTTTGATGTTGGCAGTGATACTGGAATGGAAAATATTTAGCTCAATGAAATATGTTAGCGGATTAAAATGTCATAACTCGCTATTCGAACCGGCTCGTAAAAACATTCAATGTGACTCTAGTCAAACCAAAAATGTGACAATGTTTTTTTAAATGAATTGAAACTTTCAGCACTGCGGGATTGGAACCTGTGTGTTCTGTATTCGCATCTCGACGCTTTACCATCTAAGCTAAGTGAACAATGAGCTCGAAAATCTCGACATATATCTACATTCTTTCTATTGCATCTTAGCAATGCTTAGCACCTTTTAGTGTGCCTAACCTAACCTAACCTAACCTAACCTAACCTTCACAGCATTAAACAAGAGCTTTTGTCTATCAAAAGAATTAAACCGAAACCACGCTATTTTGTTAAAATTTTAGTAGTACTACTGGTGGTATTAACTACTACTTATTAATTGTGATACAAATACTATAATTATTTTAAAATTAAAATGATATCATTTTAATCAGTGAGAGTTTTGTGGTACCTACCACTACTCTTATATTTTATTTTGTTTATTCTTTATAAAAATGGACATTTAATAATTTCAAAAGAAACAGTATTTAGAGATTTTACCGTGTTTAATTTTCAAATCAAGATGGGATATACTTATGAGTTTATTTTATCATTGGATAATAATTATTTCAGTGGAATTGAACACATGAAATCTTTTCTTAATTAGCTGTAACATTATAATAGGTAAACAGGTACTCACCAGCGGCGCCAAAAATAGCCAAAACGAAAAGATGACGGTACATGGTGAATGCTGAAGGAACTGAATATGGTCTAATCGGTTGGAACTCTATTTATACCTGTGACTTTTGGAGAATATTAGGTCAACAGTCATTATCGGTGATAATAGTGAACCTTCACACAAATTAAGAAACAATGACAGATAAATAAAAGATTAATTGATAGCGCTTGTAATCATTTTGAATGAAGTACTTATTTCAGAAACTTGTCTCAAGTGGACTTGTAGATTTTCCCGTATTTTTAAACAGAGTAATCTACTGTGACAATTTCAAGCTCCGGGTGACAAAAAAATCTGTAAAACTTGAGTTATTGTGGCAATTTTTTTGAGGGTTTAGGAAAGTTGAAACTTTAAAAGAAAGATGAATCAATGGTGTCAAAAATGATTTACACCACCCAACCACTAACCAACCCAAGGATAAAAGACTCTCGCACACATTCAAACTTTCATATTCTAAAGGTTCAGTTGTCAACAACTTGCGTTATATTTAAATTTACTAGAATCCTATCAGAGGACGGGTTTAGTTTGTTCATCACAAATATTTTATTGAGCACTTGAAAAAATTTTACGATCGCCTAAATTCTTTCTTTTTGGTTCTTTTTTATTTCTGACTAACGATAACTCACCTTTTGCAGCACATATATTGAAAAACTAACTCAGCTGAGCTACAGTTCAGGTCCACCGTCGGGGCTTGCTGCTTGTTAGCACCGGGCTTCCATGACATTCTTCCATGAATTCTTGGCAGCGGACTTGGAACTCCTTTGGCCATGCAAAAGGGCATGCGTAAAAAGACGCGCTTATGTTCCAGAGCACCTTATTGAAGGAGTTGAGTTTTTCTCCCCGTAAAAACAGGAAAAAGCCTTGGCGGTATTGGTTTAGGTTGGTCTTACACTGACTAAAACCTTCACGATGCTCCACCCAGGGCACATATTAGTCCCCTCCGACCGGGTTCCCGCCTTGACGTGGCGGAGGGGCTTAGTAGCCGTGGCTTGGTCCCCCACGGCGAAGCTAAGAGGAACCCACATTGGGCCGGCCCGAGAGGGCCGCTCCGCGTGCTGGAGGGTGCTGGGGACAGGTCGAGGGTGGTAGAGGTGGTTCCACTCTCCCTGTCTTCTGCTACCGAGGAGGAGTCGCGGGGGAAGAGGAGTGTCGGTATTGCGTTGCGCCGTTCTTCCTATCCTCCGCGGCCGAAACATGGTGAGCGGTGGAGCCACAGACCAGGTCCACCGCTGGGGGCTGGGAGGCTTACTGCTTATTAACACCGGCTCTCCTGGCTCCCATGGCCCCGTTCAGCGAACTCGGGGGAGTTCGTTGTGAAAATGGGGTCGAGTAGGAAGGCGCGTTGAATGTTCCAGCGCGCCTTACTTGGAGGAGAGGGGGGGTAGCACCCCGTGAGGGAGCTGCTAAGGCGGCGAGCGCTGGCAGCGTCGCGGAAGTGTGCGAAAGCGTTCCCGTGACCGTGTCGATATGCGCCTAGGTGTAACATCGTGGGGGTTTTAGTCGTGCGAGTGCGACATAACCACATACCGCGAGGGCGGGTATGCGTAGGCATTTCCCCTCAAGAGCCCCTTCACGAGAATCAAACCCCTCTCCTCTCCAGGCAGCGCGTACTGGAACAGATAGCACACTTAACCTGATCGACCTCTTTTGTACAGGCTACTAATCCTGAAGCTGCCAAAATCCACGGAAGTTACGATAGCCGCTACCAACAAGTAGCAAGCCTCCCAGCCCCCCTCAAAGGACCTGCACGATTCCATCGATCACCATTTTTTAGCCGCAGAGTTTAAGGTTAACGGCATATGTAATACCGATAGTCCTTTCGCTGCGAGCCCATTTCTATACGCACACAAAAAGCCCACTTTGGATATATAGATGGTATATAGAGCCCACGCGTATAGAAATGAAACGATTTACATTCGACCTCTGAATTCATATTTGTCACCTTTTCCGTAGTATTAGACTTCGTAGTTAAGATTCCGTAGTTAAGTAGACTATTTAACCGACTTATAAAAAGAAGCTGGTTCTCATTAAATTTTTTTATGTTTGTTACATACATTTACTATCATGTGAGAGAACCGATTATGATGATTATTTTTTATTTGAAAGCTGGTGCTTCCCATGTGGTTCCATATTAATTTCATTGGTCTTCATGCTCATCTTGGGCTGCGGAGATACTTAGGGAAATCCTAAAAATCTATTATAAAATAAATAAAGAGCGAGATATTTGAAGGCGGTTTTGTTTTTCGTTAATAAAAATGGACTTATTTACGTAAAAAAAATAGAAAGTTAAAACACCATGAACAGACCTTTACAGACTAATATTAAATTAAATCGCAGTATATTTTAAAATAAAAAAAAATAATAAGTTCTCACTCCAGTTTATTTGCCATGCAAATCTTCAAAACTTTTATAAGTATAGTGGCAATGGGTGGATATCTTTTAAATTTAAATATGCACACCATAACCCGCTTTAAAGGTGCCTATTTAACAATAATAAACAGTGAATTTATTTATTTCTATAGTAGCCGTGATAGCTCAGTGTCCGGGCGCTCGCCTTTAATTCAATATACTCGAGCAACCTGAGTTCGATCCCCGGTGCCGGCACCAATGAAGTTTTTAACTTTAAGTGCTGACTTATCACGTGCTCCACGGTAAAGGAAAACATCGTGAGGAAACTTGCATATTTTCGAAATAATAACTAAAAAAAAATGTATTTCGAAGATATGTGAAGTCCGCCAATCCGCAGTGGGCCGTCTGGTGGACTATGCCCCGGATACCCTCTCTATAGAGGAGGCCTTTGCCCAGCAGTGGGACATATATAGGCTGTTACTTTACTTTACTTACTTTATAGTAGTAACAATACAGACCATTTATATTTAATTTGGGTAAGTAACAATAAGAGAATATGGGTTATTCTGTGACTTCCAAACAAGGCTATGTCTGTATCTTGGAAACCATACTTATTTTTGAACATGCATACAGAAGCTTATTTCAAATGTTGTTTGATTGTAGCTATAGAAACGTAAATATAGAATGACGACACGAATATAATATATTCGTGACATCATTCTATATTTACGTTTTAAAAATAATTAAAACAAAAGAAATATAAATTGTTTAACCCTTTGGTTCCGAACATACTTTTTTACATTAGAAGTTGCGTAGTACGTCATTTACGTTCGCGTAAAGATATTAAAAGCCATTTTTAAGGGTTTATTTAAACAACTTGAAATTATTAAATGTTAAATTTATATTTACAGAATTTCTATTCTATTCCCTCGTCTTCGGGATAAGCGAGATTAAGTAAATGTCAAAAAGATGTTATTGATTGCCAAAATTGAATTGGTGGCGAAGCATCATATCCTTTAGGGTCACTGTACGCGCACATTGTAACGATACTCTCGAAACTTTTGACCACTATGTCTAATTTTGACATGCGTTCGAGCAGCGACTGAGGGCTTACTTCCGAAAAGAGGTAGAATTCAACTCGGATGGGCAGTATCCGGAAAATCGCGAGATATCTTCTTTTCCAAGATCTCGCATGTCTGAAGACAAGGATGTATAACCAGTTTGCGTTTTCAGTGATGACCTATTGTACTGAGACGTGGTCTTTAAGAGCTGGCTTTTCAGGAAAGCTCGGGATCACATAACGAGCTTTTGAGAAAGGTATGAAATGAGCTATGGAATAAATCGAAGATTAGGATAGCGGCCGTATGCTACAATCCTCAAACCAGCTGAGAACTAAGTGTTCATAATTTTGTTGGATTCTACAATCTCAGTCTACTAACTAGAAGTGTGCCCCATCAGGGGGACATGTATAGGCTGTTACTTTACTTTACTTTTTTACTCGATCTTGATCGCAGTTGCAAGAGCCTTAATTACTTGTACAAGCATTTTTATATTTATGTTCAAAAGAGGTGTAGATATCTTGACATATCAAAATGCACTTGTCTCTGTTGTCTCCTGAATCTAGTTTAGAATAGAAGCCTGACATAATTAGTGTGATCATCTTTTTAGCTCAATACATCCTTTGCGGGTATAAAACCAGATAGATTCGAAAAGATCACATCATGTCTCCCTATAGTCCATAATATATATATATATATATATATATATATATATATATATATAAAATATATGCATATTTATATGTTATGTACCCAAAATAAGTATTGTTTATCAACTTGCAAGACACCTGGCTGCTGTTGATTTTGTACCTAAATAAGTTTGTATGATTGCATCACAAAAAAAATTACAAAAAGAACAAGATCGCAGAGTTTCTTGCCGGTTCTTCTCTGTGCAGGTCTAGTTTAAAGAACCGGTGACTTCAACGGTCACCGGTTCTCTAACTTTGACTCTCTCTCTTTGACTTTTTCACTACATAGTATAAAACAACAAATTATTTATTATTTAATTATGAGTTATTTATTATTAACAAAATTAGATATTAAAATTTGCGATATAAATATTTTTCTATCACAAGATTTTTTGTATATCGTCTTAAAACAAAAATGGTAGTTTTCGTATGAATTTTTTGTCAATTTTCTTTCATTTAGAGCGTCTTATTTAAGTTTTTGTTTGCTTTTATCAAAATTAAACTGTATGCAAAACGTTTATCCTTTTTATTTTTGTATCAATTATATTAAACAAACTACAGTTTCACGAATAAATTTAAGATATTTTAATAACTCTCGCGTATTTAGAGACCCGTTATTTTGGCGCGATACTTTGGGTGTTTGGGGGAAAAGTAATTAAAAATGTAATAAAAAAATAACAACACTCATATGCAAATAAATATAGTAAATTTATTAATTGTTTAGTTTACATTACACGTTAATCGTAACTATGCCTTTGTCGTAAATAAGTGCTACTTTGGTCGACCCATCGCCTCAAAGCTGACACTTTGGTATAAACACCAGGATAATGTGGACGTGCACAACCAAGACCCCAGGACACCACTCCAGCAAGTCTTCCATTATGAACCAGAGGTCCTCCACTGTCACCCTGATAAAAAAAATACAGTTTATATGAATAACTACAACATACATTGCTATAACAGAATGTAATGATTAAATAAGTCACTGATATATTTTTTTTAAAATTTTAGGATAACATTATCCTGTGCTCTAAGGACGCTTTACAAACACAAATTCCACTTGGACAAATATCCATATTCGAAACAACCATCTGTGGGTCGCACAAATAGTTATTCCGTGTGGGTCTGTGGGTCGTACAAATAGTTATTCACGACCCTCGACGCCGTAGCCAATACCTTGGCAATTGGGCCACGGAGTCATCATGATATTTGAAAAATCCTTGCCGGAAAGTGTGAATAAGGAACTTTTGGATAAACGAAAAATATTAATTATTTATTTTGGAGGAGATGAAATATATACCTGGCAAGAATCTTTGCCTCCTTCTGGTAAACCAGCACATAGCATGTTAGGTGTCACGCTGTAAAGTGGTTCATATGCTTGTTTGCAAGGAATTGATCCGATGATAGGAAGTACAACCATTTGTAACTGTATTGGGTAGTTACCACCTTCCTGAAAATAAAGTCTGTGAAAACTGTGTTCGACACACTGAGTTGAGAAGTACATTTGAAACTTTGTAATAAATAATTGATGTAAATTGTACTTAATTTGACTTTTAGCTTTTCGGTGGTAGGGCCCGCAGCAGCCTCGGCTGTTGCACGAATGGGCTGGCTCGTCCGGGTAAGTACCATGACCTCACAGAAGACCGGCGTAAAGTGGACGAATAATACTTTTGTGTTTCGTCTGGTGACTGAGGTGGCCGGAGCCCAATTTGCAAAAGGTTCTCAAGCATCTGCAACCCTCGGGTGTAGCAAATGTCCATGGGTGGCGGCATTCACTGCACATCAGATGAACCGTCTGCTCGTTTGGCAACTTTCAAATAAAAAAAAAAAGAAAACAAAATATAAATCTTAGAGTTGAAAAATAAATGTGGCTGGGTGGATATTACACAACTTAATAAAAATAAGTGAATTAATATGTGATATTAAAAAAAAACATGTGTGGCTTATAATTACTTTTAGCTTTCCCCATCCTGTGATCACAGCCATATCGCCTTCGGGTATTTCTTCACCTGATTCAACCATTTGAACCGGGGCAACACCTTCTTTGAACTGTATTGGTATTGAGACCCACATTAACGCTATGTCATTGTCCATGTTTGAAGTTGAAAAATCTGGATGTAATTGGAAATCACCCACTGGGTATAACTGACCTCCTTCTAGACTCGATGAGGACCCCACACGAATAGAATAGTCGGTTGGGTTCAAGCTAAAACTGAAAGGACAAAGTTTACATCTAAAATTAGATACAATTAAATATACAAACAATATTCTTACAATAAAAATATTTGTTAAATAAGTGTATTAAAAATATACAATATGTGAATTTAAAAATATATATTAATATATTTTACCTAACTGATCAAGAATACAGAAAGTCCTTAGCGTCTTAATTACGTTTTATTATATGAAAATCTCAGAAATTATAACTATCATTACTTACGTCGTAATACAATGAGCGGCAGTTAAAATGAGGTCATAAGAAATTATTGAACCTCCACAGGAATGTTTACCAGCATAAACTATAGATATTTGATATGGTGCTGTAGTGATGTCTATCTCTTCGCCATCTATGATTCTCACCTCATTTACTTCCCTGGTAAGAGGTGAAGATACTGAAGTGTAAACATCGATTGGTTAAGTTTTTGCTTCCATTGTAAATCATATTTTGGATGTTAGACCTTATAGTTTACGAATAACTTATAAGTAATTACTTATAATTATAAGGCATTCAAGTTATCGTTTCAAATTAATCATAAATTATAAGAGTACTTACCCGTTAAACCAAATAATGCTAGTAATATTACGTTGTGCATTGTGCCGATAACAATAAACAATAGTTATATTTTTTTCCACGTAGCACGATTTATACCAAAATATAGTTCACATAAAATTCTAGTATTTGTACAGTTTTAGTTAAGATAGCCCTTTACCCCAATTCCGTAGCATTGACAGATAACAAGGATTATATACAGGGCAAGTGGTTATAATGAAGGCTGTTCCAAAAATTTACCAAAGTCAAATATTTTCTAGTCAGATATTTGTTGAATCACTTGATTTCAAGTTAATATTTACTGATGACACAATTTAATCCTGATGGTCCAATTTTTGAAAACAATTCAATTTATCCTTATTATTCAATGACATTTTAAAAGTATCTTATATTTTTATGTTATAATGCATATGATAGCTCTGCCAGCGGTTGTTGAGCGATTGACTCCGATCCGGTTAGGCCATTTATTTTTTATATATTAAAAGGGGGAAAACCGCAGAGGTTAACTAACACTCCTGAGGTTAATTGATAGCTCCCATAGGATGTGACTTGCGAGGCAGCAGATTTATTTCCAATCTTTTAGAAAAATGGGCCAAGCTTACCTCACTTATCAAATCAAACGCAAAATTATAATACTTCCTTATCACACAGGTCCTCCGTGAGACAGTGGCCCTGAAGTGTATCAGAATACATGCATGGGACAGCTCCTCCAAGGACCTGGCTCGATCAAAATAATTGAAAAAGGCCATGCCACAATATTGTTACAACGAAAGGGATGAAAGTTAAAAATATTCTGTTTTAAATAGATTATTGTTAAAGTTTGTATTTTGTAGTATATCTACAACGTACATGGCAATTTTTCTGGCGGACTATTTCAGTTGAGCATGGCGTCAAAGATAGATGACATTGGTACAGAAATTTCTGATACCATTTCAATGAAAAATTGCGCCTGCGACGAGTGTTATTTTTGTATGTTTATATGCGTGTTGTGAGTTCAATTCCGACACGGGACAAGTATTTATGTGAAACACAACTGATTATTTCGGAGCTGATAGTTTGTTTGCCAATGTGAAATTAGTTTATATAAACATTAATTTTTTTATTACAGTAAGTAAAACTTACACAATTTTATTACAGTAAAAGTAATTAAAATTTGAAGCTTATAGCTTTTTTTCATTTTGACCTTTCGCAGCTTTGTAAAGGCTTACAATGTTCGAAATGTTCTTTTATAATATTATAAACGCTGTCTAGGTAAGGTAAGGTATATTAGGTAACCTAAGTTCACTGTTCTTTGGTCCGTGACATACTACTCGCAGCGACAGTATGTCACAAATATTATCGTTTATCACTAGGTCAAGGTTAAGCCCATAAAATATTTATCCTCCGGTGATTTCATGTTTTTACGCGGATAGGATACTTGGTTAAGTAAAAGTATTTTATTACGTTTTATCAAGCGACTTCAAAAAAAGAGGAGGTTCTCAATTTGAGTGTATTTTTTAGAATAGAATAGAAATAAAATAGAATAGAAACTCCTGAAAATCAATCATAAATATTCACTTTATAATACGGAATACAGAGCGAAATATTTGAAGTCGGATTTGGTTTTCGTTAATAAAAATATAGACTTGTAATGATTTTAAATTTGCAACGTTCCAGACTCTTTACAGCGTTCATGGTGCCGATCTGTTACAATTAAACATATCACAGACTCTGTAGGGACTGTCAGCAGTGCTGTTGCACAAATGGGAAGGTTCGCCCTGGGGAGTTCTACTGCTTCACAGGAGACCGGCGTGAAATGTTACACTGTTGTGTTTTGTCCGGTGAGTGAGGCCCCACTCTAGGTAAAGTAGGCAATAAATTCGCAACCCCGTCAGGTGTTGCAAATGTCATATAAGAAGGATTAGGCATTTTATTCGACTTTAAAAAGTCATAACGAGAGCTCAAAATATATTTTTGTTACTTTACAACTGCACTTGATGTGTTTCATCAGATACATATTTTAATTTTCATTAATTGACATGGTTAGATTCATTCGATTCTAATCATTTAATTTCGATACAATTGGCTTTTCATTTTCTGTTTAGCTAAAACTTTGCTCTTCCTTTATAATCACCTGTGTTGTGTAGAGAAGTGGAAGAGTCATTCTTGTGCGTTTCATCTATTGAGTGAGGTAGCCGGGGCCTAATTTTAATTATAACGTGGCAACGCATCTACAACCCTACGGGTGTTGCAAAAGCGGGTGGTGGCGGTTATCAGTTAACATCAGGTGAAAGCTGGCTAGACACCTTCAAAAAAAAATATAGAAATTGCTTCTATATATATGCTTCTTGGATGTGGATAATAAGTCCAAGCGTATCGTACAATTATATCAATAATAGCTGATTTGGACACCACTTGTCTTAATCGACTAATTATGAGTATGGATGTTTACGTATGTACGCACGTACGTTCGTTTGCACGTTCATACAAGTGATTGTTAATAAATAGCACCACAACTCACACCAGCAGTAATCAGGCATATATACAAATCAATAATAAACTAAATTATCTTTAGCTATTCAAGCAGTTTATAACCGGAGCTCCAAAGAATCGTTAAGATATTTGTTACTAGAGATTAAAATATTGACTGTTTCTTCTAACTACATACTTTAAAATGTTATGTATGTCCATAAAAACAAGAATGAATTTTCAAGACATGGTAATGTGCATGACATAAATTGTCATATGTCACGTAATTATGGACAAACATAAATTAATTTTACCCACAGCTAGACTGCGTATGTAAGAAATTATTTTATGCGAGAATGTATATCACAACATAACCCAAGAAAACTTTTACAATGTATCAATTGCTAAAATCAAAAAAAATTATAAAGGAACGTTTGTATGTTACAGGCTATTATTATTATTATATAATATTAGTCATTGTTTAAAAGTTAACATACCCTCGAAATTAATTGATCGCTCCAGGCTCTTTCAAGTGGACTGTAATACATATTTATAAACATTTTTCTTGTCAAATAATGGTAAAAAATGTACCACTAAGTACTCAGAACCAGCGAAAGGATCTCAGTCAGTGGTTTTTTCTTTCCGAACCGGTGGTAGCGTTTTGACAATCAATAGGTAAGTGTAATACTTATATGTAAAAAAAAATGAATGTGAATTTAAAAAAAAAATAGTAAGGCCACAAAACAGTCTTCACTGTTGCACCTAACAGAAGACCGGCGTGAAGTGGAAGTGTTATACTTCTGCGTTCCGTCTGGTGAGTAAGGTGACCGTACCCCACTGTATTAAAATGTGCCACTGTATCTGCGACATTACGTGTCTTGCAAACGTCCATGGGCGGCGGTTATCACTAAGGTGAACCACCAGCTCATTTGCCACCTTCTCAGACACTCTATTATTACATGTTATAATTGGACACAAGGACAGGAACGAGACTTTAAAATGAGGGAACGTTTAAATCTATAAATCTAAATTCCCATAATTTACCTACATTTATCGGTTAATTTAATGTAAAAAATTGAAAGTGATGCGATATTTTTAAAATAATATCAAATCAATTCTATTAAGTTTTTCCTTAACATTACCATACCATTTAAATATTTTTCTACCAAAAAAACTCCTTACTTATTATTCCGGCTCTAAAA